AAATACCAAGATACATTTTTACTACATTTTCCATTTATCTCTGTGCTTTTAGTTAATCTTTTTAAACCTCACTAGTAATGAAGTTCTACTAGTGGGTCTGAAGTTACCCAGGTAACTTATTTGATTGCTTTAAATAGAACTAGTATATTTATTGTTGAATTAATATATAGTTTCATCTTCAAGATGGTTATTTCTTAAGATATTTTTTGATCCAGGGAGTTGCCGTTTCTGGGAAGAGGGTGGTACTCTTTGCACCACAGAAAGGCCTCTATAAACATGGACAAAGCCCTGTCCATCTCTGTGCTCTAGATGGCATACATAGAGATCCAAAGAATGCCTCTCCTACTGAGACCCGCTTGACTGTACTTTTTGAAACTGCTAGACGTGGTTATTAGGGCTTTCTTGTAGTAAGCTTTGAAATATTCATGAAATAGCACAAATGAGGTGGATTCAACATTTTATAAGTACATTCAAGTCTAATAAACCCCTCAAAACATAACTAACTTTGTTATATACTGGTGTAAAATGGTGTAAGATATGGCACAGTGTTTCAGTACTAATCCACACACATTAGATCAACATTTTATGTCTTGGCCTGTTTATACAAATTCTAGCTGAAGTGTGAACAAACTTTTCCTTTTCTTTCTTCCAGTTAGTACTGTGTATATCTGATGGGTGACTGGAACTCTTCCCTGGAAAAGAAGGAATACGGGGAGTAAAAGAGATTAAATGAACTTTACTTCTAATAGCAAATATCTTTAGTTGGCATTGGGTAGTAGAGACAAAAAAGCAAACACAGAAAATGTTTTTATCACAGATTTTTTTATTTTCTCAGTGAAAACTACAAGGTAATGGAGTCATATACAGAGCATAGCATTTAAATTAAGAGTATCATTATCTTAACTGATGCCCAGTACTATATGTATAATAATACTTTTTCTTCCATCATACATACATGTGTATGTATATTAAATGTGTGAAAAGTATAACGATGTAGATAAGCTCAAGATATCTGTAGGCAGAAAGGACTGAACCTGACTTTCAAAGACAACTTCAGTCAATTGATTCACCTGCTTGTTTGTCATGGAGTTCTAGGTTCAGCCCAGTGTTTATGGAATAGATACTACTCATTTAATACAATGCTTTTCTCATTTGAGGGTATTATTTTGGAAAATGACAGTCTAGGGTTGAGGGAAATAAAGCAGTTTGGCAAGAAACATCAGGAGACTTGGCTACAGTTCCTATATGCATCTCTGAGACAGAACTTTTCTTCAGCAGTGCTCTCTTCTTACCTCTTGACAACTTGCACTGGATGATTTCTTTTTCCCCTTGAACTTTTCATTCTCTTGTGGTTAGACTGAATTGTGGGTTTTAGAGCAGAGGTACACCAGCATATTTCTACCCCTCCCCCCCCCCCCCCCCCCCCCCTTTTTTTTTTTTAAACTTTTCTTTCCAAGATCTGAATGGTTCATGACTTCTGTGCAGAGAGACTTCACGTGGTGACTTTTCTTTTGGCTAAGCGCATATGTTGTGCTTAAATTTCTGTAAAGCACAAGTTTTTGTTTAATCAAGCCTGCAAATCTGATGTGAATTGAATAATCTTTAATCTGTAAAAGTTAAAGCTGAGCATTTTGTGGAATTATTTGGTTTTGACCTGGAAAAAAAGCCCAAAAAAAGCTTCAAGTTAACTTCAGGTTCTCAAAGTTATTTACGGGAGTGTTGTTCAGCCAGAATAAGCCAAAACAGCAAGGTCTCTGGCTCCATTCCCTCTGTGTATTTTCACAAAAAAGAATATAAACAAACTAGTTTTCCTCTGACTCGGTTCCTATTCTTAATTAGCTTTGCCCACTTATTTTATATTTTGTATGAATGTAGACAGATGGAGTTTCATTTGATGGAGTTTCTCCCAGCTAGAATTCTAAAATTCATCTTCAGAATTTAATGTGTACAAAACATACCTTTCTTTCAATTTGCAAGGTGTCCTTTCAGGGTAGGTAGGCAGGGATATGGAGGAAGTTGAAGTCATCTTCTCACTCTTGGATGTGTCACCTTCAGTAATAAAGACGTTGTCATTGCTTTGGGCGGTTTGTTTTTTTGGTAGAGCTGTGATTTGCAACATCATAGTTATATCTAAAACTTGTACTGTAGGTGTCAATAGCAGTTCAAGAGTTCAGGGTGTGTGAATAAATATGGGGTCATTTTGTGCGGTTCATGGTATAGTTAAATCAGAACTATTGGTGTCTAAGCTAGATAGACTGATGTTAGCACTCAACATGCTGCATTTCTGCTCTAATCTGGGCTACAAACCGAACTCCTAGGAAAAAAGATAAGTAAAACTTCAGTAATTCTGCTGTTAAAGGCAACATTTAACAGGCTATCCAGTTATTAGATGTTGCAGGAGAGTGGCTAGTGTATCTTAAAGTCTGGGAAAAGAAGCTGTAGTTTAATGGGAGAGGGAAGATGGATCATTGCAATAGATCATGAAGCAGATAGACTGCAAAGAAAAAATTTTTAGACCAGGACATCAGAATGAACATAATTGATTTTGTTTCTTTTACTGCTTTTACCTGACATTATACTTGGGCTTTGTAAAACTTAAAAATCTGGCAGGAAATCAGTCTCATAACTAAGCTTAGCATCACGAGCATGTCTAGCTTCATAGGAAATTTTTTATCAAAAATTGATGTGACTAGAAGGCTGGGGGTTTTTTCCTTGTTTTCATTTAATTTTTTGAGTTGCTACTGTCACCACAGAGAATCTATGTTACTTTAAAGAGATGAAAAGTGATTGTACAACTTCAAAAGAAGGGTCCATAAGCACAGGATCTTACCTCCAACACTGGCAATAAATACATGCCTTGGAAGAACAGAGAAAATGTTTGATATATCTCCTGAGTACTGTCTCAATCTCTAATTTCAGTTCAAGGTATTTTCTGAATACAGAGTTCTACCTATTTTTCCTGGGAAACTTTTTTAAAGAATGTGTCCTTGTGCCTTTTGTTATGATTTTATTTCTTCCATTATTCTTCTATGTGTTATCAGCTGGTGTTCAAAGGCGAAAATAACTGTGTGTGGACAAGTAAGAGGGGAGGGAATCAGTTAAAAAAACACTATAAATTTAAGCTAGAAATAAAATAGACTACCACACTGAAGAGGCTGAAGAAAATAAACAGAAAGAGAATGAAACTGAAGACCAAAGATAATGGGTAATAATGAAGTCCTTGTATATATGTGATGTTAAACAGAAGATAAATGATTGCTTGGTGAGGTGAATCTTGATTATGATCAACTTAGTTGGTCTGGATGGTAGGCTCATGTTCTGAGAAGGCTAGAGAATTGATTATAAGGTTTCCAAACAGCATGCACCTTCAAAAAGCTTTTGGGAAGAGATGCATTATGATGTAGGAGAGCTGAGTGGTTCTTGTAATGTCGTGGGTTTTTTTATTTGCCCAAACTCAGCAATGGTAAAACACACAGTCTTTCACTTAATGCTTTGTGTAGGTGCTGGGCAAAATTATTAATGTTTAAACTCAAGGGGTTTATTTCATCTCTCACTAAATCTCCATTACAGTAGTCAAGACACTTTCTGTCTCAATGCAGGGGTTTTTTTGTCATGTCTGAGATAAGATCTGTCATCCCCTAGCTAATTTGTTTAACCTGATTAATAGTCATAGTTCATAGTGCCTCATGACTAGCGATTCCTATCTTTGTACCTCCGTATAGCTTTTGCCTCTACTCACCACGCATTACATTTGCAAAATGAGCAGTGCACTCCTAACACTTGCATCTTTCCATTCTTGCTATGAGACTATACTCTTGTTATAAGCTTTAAGTCATTTGATTTTACTAATTTTGAACAGCAGTGTTCAGGGCACTGCTTGCAACCCCTGAGTGGAAAGATGCACTTATAAATGGCCAGTGGAATTCATGGAATTCACAGAATCACAGATTTGTAACTGTTTCTTCTCATTCACCAGGTCTGGGTAAATCAAGGCGCACTGTCACAAGAGCCTCGGTCCCTGTAGCCTTTTTTGGATGCAAGATCTTTGGGTTTTCTTGTGATTTTTCAAGAACTGATTTTTACATACTCAGGATAATGCAGTCTACCTGGCAGCCTGTTATATTTCAATTTTTATAGAATATGTGGATCTTGCATAGCTGAGGGAGCAAGACGTGGTGTAGTTCTCCCAATACTGGCTATTGGAGCATCATCAGTACAACTATAACTGCTAATCACAAGAGTTTCACTGGGGGGAGACCTGGTAGTTCTAATCAAAAAGTGATCCCAAATGCAGTTTATCATACATGCAGTGTAGATGGTTCAAGGTACAGAACCACAAAATGAAATAAAGCCTAAATATGGTTTAGGTGCACTTGCAAAATGCTGTCTTATCCTTCTGTAAAGCCCCTATATCAGTTGGATTAGACTATTTATATTATGTCAAACTGCATGGACATTTCATAATTAGGCTACTAAATTCTTTTCTGTAGGCATTTTTTCTAGCTGATGAAAAAAGATTAATAGTGTGTGCCTTTATGGCAAACAGTAATTAGACTAGATGAACATCACTATCTATTTAAATAAAATTGAAAGCAGATTGATATTCTGAAGCACTTTCACAAAGCACAAATGACTCAAATCTAATAGGCTGTTAAATTGGAATGCGTGTTCCAGTGAAACGTTTTGTGTAGACTTAACGGCTTATGAGTGAAACAGTAACTGTAGGTTTAAAGAAAGTACTTTTCTTTGAACTTTTATGGAGAAGTTAGTTTTGTGTTGCAGCTCAGAGTATTACTAAATGCTGAATTCATTACCTTATAATTTTTTTTAAGCAAACTATTATGTTGGACAATACTTCTACACTGCTGTTTGATTTAAAAGATCAAAGCTGTTCTCTGAAGAGTTTTGATTAACTGTGGAGACTGGCTATGTTCAACACTAATAGGTGTACTAAAGTGCTGCCAAGATTAATGTGGAGATGACCCTGTGCCTATTTTCAGAATTGCAGGGGGGCGAATTATGTCAACAGTGAAGATGCATTTGATAAAAGGCCGAAGCAATGGGGATCCTTTCTGTCAGGCAGTAGAGGAAGTTGTACAAGATTTGGATTTGAAGATTAAAAATATTGTCGATTCACAACATGAAGTCTTGACTGACAGCACTACTGGAGTGAGTCCAGCACGGGTAATGGGACTTCTTTTGTTCTTTTTACTATTTAGCTTTACAAGAAAGTAAATGTCTCTTGTTTTCTTTCTTTTTTATTTTTTAAAGGACTTTATGTAGAGTATTATCTTTTCCTAACAGTACAGAGCAGTGTCATTTCCTCTACAATGTGGTTTTAAACTTGTTTAAAGACTTACTCTTGAGGATTATGGTGTGGATTTCAAAAAGCTGATTTACTTAAAATAAACTGCTTATCTCAAAATTGTAAAGAAAATACTCTTCAAAACTTAATTTGTTTGTCCAGTTGTTAAAGATGTGGATACTTGTAAGTGTGAGGTTTCCCATTCATTTCAAGGTAGTAGAGCTATAAAAAATTTCCAAATAAACTCATGAAAGTGGAACTAAAATTTGAGAACATGTATAAGTAATTTTGATCAAAATACACAGGTTTTAATTAGCTTAGTGTCAAGTATTTCTAAGGGTAAAGCATTCAGAATAATGGAATAAAGTCCAAAGCATGGTAAAATGTGGAGGGGGGCAATAAAAATATAACCCCGATCAACATCTAAGTTTTTCTCTTTTAGTGTTTCAAGACACTAATGAATCTATTAATGATTTTAGTTTCATGGATGGAATCAGATTATTTCAAGTTCTGTAAGTCAGGTGTGGAGAGCAGGCTCTCTATTTGTGGTTTCTGTGCTTTGAATCTACTCAGGTTTCTATTGTGATCTTTTTAGTGATGAAAACATCAACCAGCTTTAATTATTTGATTTTTACATTGATATATAAAATGTCTAATGTCATGTATTTTTGTCTAGAAAATGTTTTAAAACTTAGACTGTTTGAACGTGTATACATTGTTAAAATGCTTTGTTTTGTGAAATTGCTGGAGGTACCCCATGGTAACATAAGATTTCTAACAAATTTTAATCAGACTTCCAATATACTTTTTCTTTTCTAAGACTTAAAACCAGACAGACCCTAGTGGCTAATTAAATTGGTTTAAATGTGTGTTTCCACTGAGAAACTGGAATATATTTCATCTTCATTTTCCTGTTTCCCCTGAATCTTTCATCATTGTATTTCCCTGTTTCCCTTTCGTATCCTCCTATTTTTGTCTCTTCCCCATCTGAAAAAATAGATCACTGTTATCAGTTCTGTCTTTGTTTAGCTACTTGTATTACTGATAATTTTTTTTAAATTTAGATCATTATAAGCCAGGTAAAACTATTTTAATAAGACTTCGTTACTGAGAGAAATTCACAAAAAAAATTGCTTTTCCAAAATGGTTTGTGTTTCTTATTGTTCTGTATAGGTCAAGTTCATAGTCTCATGACTGTGTAGAAATGTTTACCAGTATCCTTGTTAAGGCAGAAGATAGTAAAGATGGTTGTATCCTGAGGTTGTTAGGTAGTGTGGTCAAACACTTAATCCCATTGAGAGCAGTGTGAAGTTAATATTTTCCTCGAAATGGACACCTGAGGGCAGCTTATGAACTTAAATATATTACTGTGAGTCTGTGGTTCTATGTTGAAGTTTTTGCCAATTCTTGAGTTAAAGTTAATTGATTCCTGGAATATCCCATCTACTCATGGACAGGCAGATTCTACTACAGTTTTTGTCAGTGAGGAAACTTCAGTATGTAGCAGAGGACGATGGCCTTTAAGCTAATCCTTTTCACCATACTCACCACAGTATGGATGTAACTGAGAGCCATCGGAGATGACTGTGGTCTGGATGTGACTGATGTGCCACTTGGCTTGACAAATCTAGTGCTGTATTTGGTTAATGTGGCAAGGTTTTGGTATCAGGGAGGACTGCAGGGGTGGCTTATGTGAAGAGACACCAGAAGCTGCCCCTGTGTCAGAGCCAGTTGCACCTGGGTCCAAAACAGACCTGCAGCTGGCCAAAGCTGAGCCAATAGGCAGTGGTCATAGTGCCTCTGTGATAACAATTAAGAAAGGGTAAAAGCCGCTGCACAGCAGCAGCTGGAAGAGAAGAATGAGGATATGTGAGAGAGAACTCTGCGGACACCAAGCTCAGTGAGAAGGAGGGGGAGGAGGTGCTGCGGCCACCAGAGCAGAGATTCCCCTGCAGCTTCTGATGAAGACCATGGTGATGGCAGGTTGTCCCTCTGCAGCCCATGGAATTCCACAGTGGAGCAGATATCCACCCTGCAGCCTGTGGGGGAGCCCACACTGGAGCAGGTTCCTGGCAGAAACTGTAGCCCATGGAGAAGAGCCCACGCAGAAGGTGGTTTGCTGGCGGGATCTGTGACCTCATGGGGGACCCACGCTGGAGCAGTCTGAGCAGTCTGTTCTTGAAGGACTGCGCCCTGTGGAAAGGACCCATGCTGGAGCAGTTCTTGAAGAACTACAGCCTGTGGGAGGGACCCACGCTGGAGCAGTTTGCAAAGGACTGTATCCCGTGGGAGGCACCCCACACAGGATCAGAGGAGGAGATGAGAAAGAAGGAGCAGCAGAGATGAAGTGTTAGGAACGGACCATAACACTCATTCCCCATCCCTCTGTGCCACTCAGAGGAAGGCGATAGAAGAGTTGGGAGTGAAGTTGGGTCTGGGTAGAAGGGAGTGATTCTATTCTGATTAATTGGGAATGAATTACATTAATTTCCTGAAGTCAAGTCTGTTTTGCCCATGAGGGCAATCAATAAGTGAATTCCCTGCCCTCTTCTCAACCCCACGAGCTTTTCATGATATTTTCTCACCATGTCCTGTTGAGGAGGCAGAGTGATAGAACAGCTCAGTGGGCACCTGGCAGATAGCCAAGATTGACCCACCGCATTCCTTTGTGAGGCCTGAGGAATTAGAGAGAAGGACAGTAGTTGAGAGAGGTAAGGGGCAAAATGTGGACTGAACATTGCTAGAGAGTGGAATAAGTGGGGAGAATTTTTGGTTTTGTAATTATAGTGAAGGGACAAGGTGTGGAGTGTGTGTAAATTGTCTGCCTTTGTTAGTGTTGTGACGATACTATTTTGGTATGGGGAATTCTTTTTGTTGATGTAAATGAAGCTTGTGAAGATTGGTGGGTCAATGTGTATTTTAACGATAATTCCTAAATATGTGATTCACAGAGTTGAGAAGGTAGTAAAGGGAGCTTAGACAAATGGTAAGAGACTGATACCTAATTGCATATTTTAGTGGAGCTTGACAAGGAAGAACATTTTGCTAAGCCTATAGAGAGATAGGTTACCACTGGTAATTAAAAAATAAAACAACCCCCCAAAAAAACCCTACTAGTTTTCCAAATGAATTTGAGCTGGGAAAAAAAATGGAGCATCAGATTGTCCTATTAAGATCTCAAGACAGCAAAGATTAATTCTCTGGGCTGAGTTTCTTGTATAGCTTGGGTTTTTTATTCTGTTTTGGTTTTTACTTTATGAAGAAACCCCCAAACCTTGATGCAAATAATTTTTCAGAAAAATTCTATGTTCAGAATAACTTCTGGTTTGATAGTATGTTGTATTTTTTAGTGTGTAAGACATTGAATCACTTCTTTGAGTGCAAATTTAAAATACCATCTTAGCAATAGAGCTGAAAATGATGCCTGCACTAGCTCCTGGGAAGGCTGCTTACTCATAAAATGTACCTGAAAAGAGTTACATTGTTAGAAAAATTTGCTTTTCTCCTGGCAGTGGCAGTTTTCTTCCATCATTGCACAGTTTTCCTGCAAATACCTGTTTTATAAGAATTTAGAGCTCCAGGAAAAGTTATTACTTTATGCAGCAGGAAGCACTACTTTGTGTTGAAGCCTGCATGAGTGACTAATAGGAATTATGATTAATTTTTTCCTGAGAAAATTACTACTGTAAATGGAATCTGGCTGGTGTTTCTGGAACTAACCAGAATAGTCTGGAGTAGTCACAACCCTTGAATGGAATGACTGATCAACTGTTTTCTTGAAAAAGTAATGTGAATAATGATTTTAAGTTTACTAATGAACAAGATTTTTGTGGCAGGGATTATTGTATTGCCAAAAGTTCTTATTGTGCCTTGAACAATAAGATTTTAGTTCATGGTTAGTACACAAAGTTGCTGCTGTTGTGCCACATGAGATTTCTGAAAATAATCTTTTAGCTGTTAGGAGGGCATGTTGTATTCTAAAGATTTTTTTTTTTCCTTTGTTTATGATCAGTCAAGATGATGCCAAATTTGTACTTTTCTCAGTAAGACAAATTTACCGTGACATACATGACATTTAATAAAAATCTGTTATGTGGTGATGTAGTGACTGAAGAGGTTCAGAATAAAATTTGAGGAAATTAAATGGTACTGAAATAGGCCAATTCTGTAAAGCCAAGTAATAACCATTTCTGTAATTGCTATTTCTAGCTATTGATTATAACTTATAGTAGCTGACTGACACGTGTTGCTATGGTTTCTTGAAAGCTACATACACTAATTAATGTAATCAAATAGAGAGAGAAATAGAACTTTATCATTTCAAGACTGTGTTTAAAAGCAGTTAACTGATTAGATAAATGCAGTTCATTGTATGTCCTGTCCTTCTGAACAAAGTCAGGCTAGTCAGTGTTTCTGTGTATTGGTAAATAAGAAAGCCTATAGTTTTGAACATCTACTACTGTGTATTAAGCACTAAATTTCTCTGTGGATCTCCTAGTAATTTTAAAGAGAAATACAGCAAACTTGCAATTCTTGCAGTCCCTTAGTGGCTATGGAGTTCTGCATTTGTACTGCTGACTGTAGCACTGAGCACTTCCAGATGTGCATTATTATTTTCTTTAAGGAATTCTTTATTCTTGTGGAAAATCGTGTTGAGTTCATCCTGTTCCAAACACCAGGAGACTGTGCCAAGTGCCCCTTTTGTCAAATCTTGATGGAAATCTCACTTTTAATCAACTGCTTTAGCAGATTCAGTTAGTCAGAGGAGTTGGATTTCACCAGAATGTATTTGTGTACCCCAAAGCACTCAAATTGGTTGTGAGAAAATAATGTTAATTTCTGCTGTGTGGTTTCAACACAGATTTGTATATTTGTGTGACTTGCTCATCAGTGTATACCTCCAGCTGGCAGCGATCTAAATGCTACTAATGGTTTGGGATGAGGAAGAAGCTTTACCATGGGTGGGTTCCCCATAAATCCTTACTGGGAAAGGGATGAAGGGGATGCTCACACCTTGTGCTGGTATGGTTTGCTTTTGGAGATGAGCTATTGGTATGGCTTGCTGACCCTTTCTGTTATATGTTCTTTTAAATTGTATTTACTTTCAGCCAAAATTGCATTCCATAAATCGTGGCACTGCGTATTGTGGCAGAGATACTGTAAAGGTCTTACTAGTTCTTCTGGATGACGAAGCTGTCAATCCTCCTACTCAGAACAAAGCAGAACTATTATATGACGATGAAAGCTTAAATTTGTTTGGAATCACCTCTGTTATGACTCTCTTCAGGTGAGTACTAGAAGGTTTTTTTGTATTTGTGTTGGGTTTGTTGTTTCGTGTTTTGGTTTTTTTTACAGCTGTTATACTGAGTGGCTAACAAAGCATTGATATTACTTACACAAAGCAAATGACCAAAGTGCAGTCTGTTGTGAGGTTAAGTGTAAAGGGAAAGCATTCTTAGAACAGTCTCAAATTTTCAAAAGTATTCTACCTCATCATTCAAATTTTCTGTATCATCAGGATGCTTTTGTAATAGGGGCTGTTCAAGCTAGTACATTTCTGGGCTGCACAAAACCTATGAAGATTTCAGAAAACCTTCTGAGTACTCACCTCTTCAGATGAGTTTGAACTCCCAAGTGCATATACTGTCTGTTCAGTAGCTAATTAGGTTACTGTTCAATTTGAAGATGCCCCCTTTATCTAGCTGTGACACAAGAGATTTTTGGATTATGTCCTATTTTCTTCCTACGTAGTAATTATTTTGTGGAGACAATCTGAAATAGTTAAATATTTTTTCAAATCATGATCCACCAGTCAGAGTAGTGTTGTACTAAGGATGTTGAAACAAATTCCCACGGATGAAGATTTATTAGTAGGATCTGTAGCTGATGGTGTCCATTGGCTTTAATGGTGAAAGTTGCTTTTGGAGAAGAATAAAATCAGAGGAGGGGGAGGAGAAGGAAAAAACTCTCCCTGGCGGTCAGCTGGAAAGTAAAGCACCCAGGGTTCCCAGACAAGCATCCCCAATAGTACAGTGGTCGTTTCCCCAACAGAACTATCTTGTCTTCATAAGGACTTGCTCAAACCCCTTATTTGTTGTCCCTGCTTTTGGTACTGCTTGTGGTGATTGGAGCATCTGTTCGTCAGGACAATGGCTGCGTGGCCAGTTGCTTATTAAGCTCTGTGCATTGCACATTTTTGGGTTCCCTAACATAATAGAAGAGCTACAATGAAAAGGGTAGGAAAAGTGGGGAAGAGGAGGGTGTTTCTTGTGCTGGTGGCAGTCATTTCCAATGAGAGCCCCCCCATAGCAACACTATCAGAGTGTGCAGTTGCAAGGCTGTGAGAATAACAACAAGGAAAGAAAAAGTGATAGGTTGTAAATTGGAAGATGGAGGATCCTAAATGTTGAAGAATTTAAGGGATCCACTAGATTTATCATTTGACCTCTTCTATGAAACAAAAGCAACAAGCACATTCTAACAAAACTTAAACATTAGTTTCATTAATAAGAATTCTAAATAAACCCATAATTTTAATATAAAAGGCATCTTGTCACAGTATATTGTGGAATATTCTTTCACCTCTCAAATATCTGTGGATAGCTATACATTCCTATTTCATTATGTGACAAGTTTAAAATAACCCTCATTTCAGTCTCTTATTTTTCCATTACTTCAGATTCAGGAAAATAGACCCACAGTACTTTTAAAATTATTTCATTAATTTAATAAAGCTCACTGTGGTTATATTTTTAGCAGAATGAAAAGGAGCTTAATTAGATCTAGATTAATTCTGTGTGAATGGAATTGAGGCCTGCCTGAATTCTTCTGAGTTACATTGCCATTATTCAGAGCTTTAGAGATTCTTTTTTTTTAAATAACTCTTTAATTTAAAAATGGGTTTTAAACCACTTATTTCTGAATAAGAGTGGCCACTGAGTATTCCCAAAAGGATAAGACATTTGTTTGACTTAAAATCTTCTTGGTGTTGGTATAAGCAGGTACTGCTGTCTGGGAATTTATATTGTAATCTAGACAATTCTTGTGTTTTCCTTAGTAATTCTTAGTGGTCAGTTCGGTTTAGATTTTATTTTCTAGGATACAATTTTTTTATATTATCTGTGTACTTCAGTTTAAAAGTTTGATTTCAAAGTATTGAATTTATGACCCTAAATTACTGTTTTAGGAATAAAAAAACTGCAAAAACTGAAATGAAACTTGCAAGCAATGCCTCTCAGTTTTTATCAAATCTTTGTGTTCTGCGTTTCTCTAGAATCTTAACTGTAAGACTCCAATTGCTTTATGAAAACTGAACACCGTAACACTGCACAAGATAGTAGCTGATGTGTCACTCTGATTTATGTCAATGTACAGGCACCTCTATAGTACAACAGGTTTTTGTTAATGCTTATGTCTCAAATACTTGATCTGGAGTGTTTGCGGTCTCTTTGCCAATCTGTTGTTGTTAATAAATCTGGAACAGTTTACAGGACAGATGACAGCACCTTTAGCAATGAATGTCATTGCAGTTTTCAGATTCTTTTTGCTAATCTGATTCTATGTATCAGATAGTTGGTCACCTCATATGACAGTTATTGTTGTATAGTTTTTGATCACGTGGTAGTTACTGTTTTGAGTTTTTCACAATGCTTTTTGTTACTTCTATAGATTTCACTACTGAAGAATTCCCAAAATACATTTAAAGTTTGTGAATAGTTTTGTCTGAGCTCTGGTTAGGGGAGGAAAGGAAGGTTATCAGGAGTAATCAGCATGGATTCACCAAGGGGAAATCATGCCTGACCAATCTGATAGCTTTTTACGATGGCATGACTGGTTGGGTAGATGAGGGGAGAGCCATGGATGTTGTCTACCTAGACTTCAGCAAGGCTTTCAACACAGTCTTCCATAACATCCTCCTAGGGAAGCTCAGGAAGTGTGGGCTGGATGAGTGGTCAGTGAGGTGGATTGAGAACTGGCTGAATGGCAGAACTCAGAGGGTTGTCATCAGCGGCGCTGAGTCTAGTTGGAGGCCAGTAACTAGTGGTGTCCCCCGGGGGTCAGTACTGGGCCCAGTCTTGTCCAACTTCTTCATCAACGACCTGGATGAAGAGTTAGAACGTACCCTCAGCAAGTTTGCTGATGACACAAAGCTGGGAGGAGTGGTAGATACACCGGAAGGCTGTGCTGCCATTCAGCAAGACCTGGACAGGCTGGATAGTTGTGCAGAGAGTAACCTGATGAGGTTCAACAAGAGCAAATGCAGGGTCCTGCACCTGGGGAGGAACAACCCCATGCATCAGTACA